CAGCCTGGATTTGGGCTTGGACTAGACCAGGCTGCTCCAAGCCCTGTCCTTGAAAGAAAGGGGACCAAGGCCAAAGGCAGCACAGCCAGAGGACACCTGCCACAGGCAGCAACACAATGGAGATGGGATCAGGCTTGGAATTAAGTCAGGAAAGGGAAAGGAAAACAAAGAGGATTTTTAAAATGCTGCTGTAGAAGCAGCCAAAAGACCCATTTCAGCTCCTGCATGACAAGTGGTGCCTGTTGGAGGCAGAAGCTGGACAGGGCACCAGGCCCAGGGGGTGAGGGGTTATCTGAGCCCTGGGAAGCTGGATCCAGCTCCATCCCTTCCCACTGGCAGCTCCGTGGCCATCAGAGCTCCCAGCCCCCAGCTCAGCTGGGCCCTCGGGGTCTCCACAGCAGCTCCTCGTGCTGCCTGCAAATGCCAGGGAGCTCAGGGTTCATCCTGGCTGAGAGCAGGGCATCCTGATTCCTCCTTCTGCCAGGGAACTGGCACCTCATCAGTGCCCAGGGGGGTGGAATGGGATGATCCTTAAGGTCCTTTTCCAACCCACCCCAGTCTGGGATCTCTCTCCAGCCACGAGACCAGGGGAGAAGCAGAGGAATTTCTTGGAGTGTCAACAAGGAAGGTGCTTAAGCTGTGGATCATCCCTTCCCACCACTCTTCGTGGAATATTCTGAGCTGGAAGGGACCCACAAGGATCATGGATCCAACTCCTGGCCCTGCACAGACACCCCAACAATCCCACCGTGTGCTGAGAGCATCAGAAAACAACCTTTTTTTCAACCCCAACTTGGGGGTTCCAGGTGGTTTTGGGTCCCTTTCCATCCCCAATTTGGTTGTCCCAGGAGATTTTGGGGACCCTTTTCCATCCCCAGGAGCCGCAGTGTTGGGACTCTGCTCTCGCTGCTCAGCCAGAGCTTCTCCCTCCCAACCCTGGGAAGTTCAGCTGATTGATTTTCCCATTCCCTGCTGTCTCCTGGTGTAGATTTCCTTCAAAAAGCAAGTTTTTTGTCCAAAACAAGGACAAAGACAGGTGGGTGCTACCTGTGAACCCTGACAACCAACGAGACCCCTCACACCCAGCGGCCACGGGGGACACCCAGAGCATCACCTGCAGGACAACCCCACTGCATCACCCACACCCTCCCAGCTCCCTGGGGTGAGGTTAAACCCCCTGGGAGCTCAGCACCACCCCAGGTTCACTGTGGGATGGAGATCTCCAAGCCCCTTCCAACCTGGCCTTGGACACTCCCAGGGATCCAGGGGCAGCCACAGCTGCTCTGGGAAATCCAGTCCAGCCCCTCCCCACCCTCCCAGCCAGCAATTCCTTCCCAATATCCCATCTGTCCCTGCCCTCTGGCACTGGGAAGCCATTCCCTGTGTCCTGTCCCTCCATCCTTGTCCCCAGTCCCTCTCCAGCTCTCCTGGAGCCCCTTTAGGCCCTGCAAGGGGCTCTCAGGTCTCCCTGGAGCCTTCTCTTCTCCAGGTGAACCCCCCCAGCTGTCCCAGCCTGGCTCCAGAGCAGAGGGATCCAGCCCTGGGAGCAGCTTTGGGGTCTCCTCTGGACTCTCTCCACATCCTCCTGCTGTTGGGCTTTGAGTGGAATCCCAGGGAACAGCGGGGAGGCAGCGCAGGAAAACCCAACCCCACCGGTCTGCAAGCACCCCCGAGGCCCCCAGTTCAGATGGGGCCTCAGAAGTTTGCAAAGACCTTCCCTGTATCCCTCTCTTTCCCTATATCCCACTCCACAGAGACAGGTTCCACATGGAACCCAGCACAGGACACAGTGCAGGGATCTCCCCACACAACCTGAGAGAGGCAAAGAGCATCAGGGTGATCCCCCACAGCCCCTGCATCTGCACCAAGGGCACATTCCAGGCTGGAGCTTCTCCCAGCCCGGGGGTTGCTGTGACAACAGGCAGCTCCCACAGGCACATCCCAGAATTTGCCACGTTCCGCTTCACACCCCCAAACCCTTCCCTTGGATTCCCAGGCGTTGCTTCCTGAGCTCTGCCTGGCAGGTGGGGGATGTTCCACCAGGGAAAATGGGTGGGAGGGACAGTCAGGGCCTGCCACAAAAGAGGATTTTGGAAAAAAAACCACCAGGGAATGAGAGTCAAGGGAGGGAGAGGACACAGCTCAGGGTGGAAGGAACCCAACCCAGACAGGTTTATTTTTCCCAGCTAAAATAAGCAAATGTAGATTTTTCCAGTGCCTCCCACCCATCCCAAAAAGCTCTTTGGTCTTAATTACACAGTTACCAAATATTCCTCTGCAATTTAAACCAAATCTGTGGGTTCTTCTCCCAGAATTTCCCTGGACCACGGGGTTCAGGGTGACTCTGTAACTAACCCAAAGCAAGAACACGCTCAAAGCACAGGCACCGGTGCTAGGCTGAGCAGAAGGTTGTCCAACAATTGACAAATGATGTCCCCAAAAAATTAATACTCAGATTTAATTTCGTCTATTAAAAATACTCCCTGATGATATTACTGGGAAGCTGTGGCTGCCCCTGCATCCCTGGAAGTGTCCAAGGCCAGGTTGGATGGGGTTTGGAGCAACCTGGGCCGGTGGGAGGTGTCCCTGCCCATGGCAGGGGGTGGCACTGGGTGGGCTTTAAGGTCCTTCCAACCCAAACCATTCCAGGATTCTGTGAGTCCTAATCTTTGTTCCTTGAGGGGTTTATTTATTCCCAGAAGCCTCAGGATCCACATTCCCTACCTGCACAGTTTCTCTGCTGCCAGGAATACCCGTCAGGGCTGGTTTTTCGCAGCTTTGACTTGAAGCACTCGCTCAAAATTCCTCCTGTGTCGTAACTCACTGAAGACAGTCAACTCCATTTACTCCCCTCCATTCCTCTTCTTTATCAAATATAAAAATCTGCCTCCATCTCCATTACCAGGATATCTTACACCATCATTTTCCACAGCAACATAAAGGTTTATGTTGTTTGTCCTCAGCCCATGCATCACACACCCTTCCCACCCTCAGACTGTTCTGGCCTGGGAGAGCTGTTGGATTGATCCCATCACCGGGATCAGCGTCTTCCCTCTGCTCTCACGAGTCACTGCTTGTATTCCAAACACCTCAGCCCTACCCCAGTGTGGCTGCAGGACTAGGGAAGTGAGAGCCACTGGGGAGGCCCCCCTGGAGCCTTGGGGGCAGCTCTGGACCCTCAGCCAGGAGAGCCATGGAGGGGCTGGAGCGTGTGCAGGGCAGGGAAGGGAGCTGGGAAGGGTGTGGAGAACTCCTGAGGGAGCTGGGGGGGCTCATCCTGGAGAAAAGGAGGCTCAGGGGGGACCTTCTGGCTCTGCAAGTCCCTGCCAGGAGGGGGGAGCCGGGGGGGGTCGGGCTCTACTCCCAGGGAACAGGGACAGGACAAGGGGAAAGGGCCTCAAGCTGTGCCAGGGGAGGCTCAGGTTGGATATTTGGGGACAAAAACCGGAAGATGGGCAAAAGCTGAGACCTCCAAACTAAGCGGGGCCAGAAGAAATAAATTTAGAACCTAAAGAATGCCAGAATTCCAGAGGTTGGAAAATACTTCCAAGGTCATGGAGCCCACCCTGTGCCCCATCCCCACCTTGTCCCCCAGCCCAGAGCACTGAGTGCCACGGCCAGGCCTGCCTGGGACACCTCCAGGCCTGGGCACTCCAAACCTCCCTGGGCAGCCCCTGCCAAGGCCTGACAGCCCTTTTTTTTTAGTTATTTACTAAAGAAACTCTGTTTAGGCCCCAAAGGATTCCAGGTTCACCAACAGGAGGCACCTAAGGAGACTCTGACGGGGAAGGGAGAAACTTCTTGGGGCAGTAACAGAGCTGGACAACAGGACATTTCCCTCCTGAGTCACCAAACCCTGCAGTGACCATGACCTGAGCCTGAGGCCCCCAAGAGAAGGCCCTGGCTCATTTGGGAACATCAACATGCAGCTCGTGGCCTCTTCCCTCAGAGCAGGAGAATCCTGCAGGGTAAAGGAACGTCCGAATGGCACCTCCAAAATGTCAACCCGAAAGTTGCCGTCTCTGAATTTCAATGAGGAACACAATGAATTCCCTGAGCTGCCTCATCCTTGTCACAGTCACCTTCAATCTGCTCCAACAGACGCTCCGGTGTCAGCCACACAACCCCTCAGTCCATAAACACAGCTGGAGATGTCCCCAAGCCCTTCCACCACCAGTGCCCAAACCCATCAGGATTAAACCCCGGAGATGGACACCCCTCTTCCTTTCATCTTGATGGGAATCATGGAATGGTTTGAGTGGGAAGGGACCTCAGAGATCATCTCATCCCCCCTCTGCTGTGGGTAGGGACACCTTCCACTACCCTAGGCTGCTCCAACCTGACCTTGGACACTTCCAGAGATCCAGGGGTAGCCACAGCTGCTCTGGGTAACCTGTGCCAGGGCCTCCCCATCCTCCTAGCCAGCAATTCCTTCCCAATATCCCGTCTAACCCTGCCCTCTGGCAGTGGGAAGCCATTCCCTGTGTCCTGGCACTCCAGGCCCTCGTAAACAGTCTCTCTCCATCTTTCTCGTTGGCCTCTTCAGGCACTGCAGGGTTGAAGAAATGAGGTCACTTTAAAACCTTCTCTTTTCTAGGCTGAACAATCCCAATTGTCCCAGCCTGGCTCCATAGCAGAGGGGCTCCATCCCTCTAACCATTTTGGTGGCCTCCTCTTTAACATCCTAAAATGTTGTGTGGGGTTCACACCAATATCCAAGCTCTGCTGCCCCGTTACCTCCAGAAGACCCTGATGCTTCAGCAACCTCCTCACCAGAGCAGCACACACTGACCATGGATCAGAGAGTCTATTTTGGATGTTAATGCATCCAGGACATGCCCTGAGCCCTTGGGATACAGCCTGGGATACAACTGCTCCGATGCATCCACTGCCCGTCCCAAAGAACGGGTGAACTCAGAGAGTTCAATGGAGATTCAGAGTGAACTTCCAGGGCCATCCAGGGTGCGTGGAGGCCCCTGGGGTGGAAGAGCAGCACTTACCTTGCCGGGAGTCATATTGTCTCATCTGCACCTCCTCCACACATTCTGCTGGGAACCAGCCAGTCCTGCCCTTCACGGTGCCTTCCCAAAACCCGCCTTCGCCGATGCTCAGCACTGCGGGGAGAGAGAAAGGGCGTGTCAGAGAGGGGATCCCAGGAGAAGGAAGGTTGGAGCGCTCAGGAACACGGAATCATGGAATCATTGAGGTTGGAAAAGCCCTCCCAGCCCATGGAGCCACCCTGTGCCCCATCCCCACCTTGTCCCCCAGCCCAGAGCACTGAGTGCCACGGCCAGGCCTGCCTGGGACACCTCCAGGCCTGGGCACTCCAAACCTCCCTGGGCAGCCCCTGCCAAGGCCTCACCACCCTTTCCAGCAACAAATTCCTCCTCAGGGCCAACCTGAGCCTCCCCTGGCACAGCTTGAGGCTGTTTCCCTTGTCCTGTCCCTGTTCCCTGGGAGCAGAGCCCGACCCCCCCCGGCTCCCCCCTCCTGGCAGGGACTTGCAGAGCCAGAAGGTCCCCCCTGAGCCTCCTTTTCTCCAGGATGAGCCCCCCCAGCTCCCTCAGCTGCTCCTCACATGGACACAACAGGGCACAGCACAGAACATTGGTCTGGCATGGTCTGGAGGAAGAAAGGACCTCAAGAAGCCTCCAAAAGCTTCTGTCCCCCATGTCCCGAAGACAGAAGTGCACAGAGAGCTTCCTGCAGGTGTGTGCTGAGAAAAGGAAACACCAAACTGGTAACCCCCAACTTTGTAAGATGGGTGTAAATGGGGGACCCAGACACAACAGAGGGTGTGGTGAAACCATTTCCTGGAAATTTGGGACCAACCATAACCTCTGACATCCTCAGAGTGACAGAGGAATCCCAGCCCCACAGGGAAAATGGGATGCAGAGAGGGAGAGAAATTGGTCAAGACAACACCACCTTCTGATGGAAGGTGTCCCATGGCAGGGGGTGGGACTGGATGGGCTTTAAGGTCCCTTCCAACCCAAACCATTCCACGCCTCAGAAAAAGAAAAAAAAACCCCAAGAATTGTTGTGGAGTTCAATATCCTAAAGGACAGAAGGCAGAGCCACATCCCAACTAACTCCACCACGTGCTGCTGCCTTTCCAGCTCAGCTCCCAACACCTCCCAGGCTGGATTCATCCCTGCTCCCATCCCCACCGCGCTGTGTCAGTCAGAGCTAAATCCAAACTCGGCAGTTATTAATAAATTAAGCACTGCTCCGGCAGCCAAAGCAAATTCCCCAAAGGAGAGGAGCCGCACGACTCCTGGATCCAGGCATTAATCCTACAGGCAGCAAGGGAAAAACAAACACAGGCACACGCCTGGCGTGGCAGCCAAACAGCAGAATCATTTCAGCTCCTCTCTAGATCTTTTCTTGAGATGCAAATGCTCCTGCTCTCCAAAGGTTGGGATGCTGTCACTGTTTGGAACAGCCCCAAGTCCCGGCCCTGATTTCCCGCTGCTCCCGGCCGTGCTGTAGCGGCTCCGCTAACAGCTCCCGCTGGAAAATTCCCCTTTTGTAGTACTTTGTATTTCCAGCTTCCAAAGCTCAGCCAGCTCTCCAGAGCCTCCTGTTCTGGCTCTGCAATTACACCGCTCCTCGTTAAGATTCGCTGTTCCTTGAGGATTGGGGAGGACTGAGGATCCAGCTCATCTGGAATCAGGCCAGATTTTAAGGGAACGACGAGCTGAGTTCCAAGGAAAAGATTTAAAGTTGTCCGTATTTCACCGGTTTGTCCCTCAGGATGTGACGTGAGACAACACGAAAACATTGCTCCAGTCAAGGAAAACAACATTCCTGCTCTCCCTCATCCAGCAAGCCCCTGGCCAAGCAGGATTTGGGATTCACCAGTCCCACTCGCCAGCTTGGCCTTTGTTGTTTAGGAAAGGCCTCCAGGGTCAGTTGTTCCCTCACCCTCCCAGGGACCAAGGTGAGACTGACCAGCCTGGAGCTCCCCACCCTTCCTGCCTCGCCCTTCTTGAGGACAGAAGTGACATTTGCAGGAACTTCCCCCTGACCACCATGACCTGTGAGGGATCACAGAATTATGGATTCATGGAATGATGGAGTGTGGCCTGGCAAAGCCACCAGCCAGGTCCCTTGGCCCTCACTGGGGCATCCCATGAGCCCCAGGTCCTGTTGGTTTGACTCTTCCCTAAGCTGATCCTCCACTCCTGAGGAGGATGCCATGGACTATCCCACTGTTCTCAGGGACCTGGGAATGCTGAAGCCTGGTCTCACCAACAAAGGCTGACGAGTTGTGGAATGGTTTGGGTGGGAATGGACCTTAAAGCCACCTCCCACCAGCCCAGGTTGCTCCAAGCCCTGTCCAGCCTGGCCTTGGACACTTCCAGGGATCCAGGGACAGTCACAGCTTCTCTGGCCAACCTGTGCCAGGGCCTGCCCACCCTCCCAGCCCGCAATTCCTTCCCTAAAAGAAGAAGGTGGGAGGTACCTCAACCAGCTCGTTCTTGCTGTGCAAAGGACACAACTTTCAAGAAGTGAGGTCCAGAGAGCAGAGGGGGCTGGCAGGGAGAGGAGCAGATGGATCCCGAGGGATCCACGCCTGGAAGCCCTAAAGTGCCCTCAGGGCACTGGTGTGGATCCAGCAGGCCCAGACCCTCCACAGGGACACAGATCCTCCACAACCATCTCCTGACAACTCACTCCAACCTCCTGCTGCAAAGTCAGGCCCTTCTCCTGCCCGTCCCCAGGCTCCCGTGCCAGCTGCTGTCCCAGGGGAGCCGTGTGCCGGGCGGGCAGCGCCGCGGGCGGCCGAGGCAAAGCTGCTGCTGACAGGAGGAGAGGAATAAACGGCCCAGGAGGCCCACAAATCACTGCTCTGAGCCCGAGCCATCGGCTCTGAAGGTCACTGGAATCTGAAGGGCCATAAACATGGAAATGAGGCGCCGGCTGAGTCACGGTTTGGGGACGCGGCGCTCACGAAGTGCTTAAATATGGTGGGAGTAAATGAGCAAACAGGACACGGGGAATGCCTCATGGAGGAAGGCAGAGCTGCCACCTCTGGATCCCAGACCTGGCCAGCCAAGTGCAACCACTATCTCCCAGCTGTTTGCTCCACGGTCTGAACCAAGGAGCCCTGTGGCTTCTCAAGTTGGAATCTGGAACATCCTTTAACCTGCTGCTGCAGGACCCCAGAGGAAAAGGCCTCAAAGCTCCTGAATCCCCTTGGTTTTCTCTCCACCCCTCCTGGGGACTCTCTCACTGGATCCCTCTCTTGGTCTCAAGCCAAATGGAGACATTCCCACCTTCCCTTCCGGGCACAAATCCACATTCCACCTTTGTTCCATCACGGACCTGACCCTGCTTTCCCCCACCCCACTCACAGCTCCTGCCTCTCCAAACAGTCTCTTCATCAGGAACTGCAGCGACAGGACAAGGAGCGAAGGGTTCAGACTGAAAGAGGGGAAATTTAGGCTAAATATAGGGAAGGAATTGCTGGCTGGGAGGGTGAGCAGGCCCTGGCCCAGGTTGCCCAGAGAAGCTGTGGCTGCCCCTGCATCCCTGGGAGTGTCCAAGGCCAGGTTGGAGCAACCTGGGCCAGTGGAAGGTGTCCCTGCCCATGGCAGGGGGTGGCACTGGATGGGCTTTAAGGTCCCTTCCCATCCAAACTATTCCATGATTCTATCCACAAGAGAAGTGCTGCCTTCCTGGGGACTCAGCTCTACTCCTGAGGAGCAGGAATCCCTCCTCCCCCTGTTCCCAGGATCCCAGTGCAGGCGAGGGACTCAAATGTGGGTCAGGAAAACACAAACCAAACAAGTCTGGCAGCTTCTATTTTAAAACTTCCCTTAAACACCACATTTCTTATCCTTTACTAAATTTACCACCTCCAGCTTTTCCCACAGGCTTCCCTGACCCAGGGACGGCACTTCCCCAGTTCCCTCTTCCGTCTCTTCCCAAGTTTGAGGCTCCAGCTCCCACAGAGAGCAGAGGCACAGCTGGGTCCAAATGAGACCTGAGGTGGCACCAGGCTCAACTAGAGCAGAGGAGGAGATGAGATCATTGTGGATGAGCAGGGACACGACCGAGAACGGGCACGAGGAGGGGACGGGCACGGCAGAGGGGAGCTCAGGCCACCTCCTCCTGCACCATCTGTCAGCAGCTACATCCCAAATTCCCTGGCACCTTCGGATGCAGGCAGGTAAAAGCAATTAAGCTCGAGGCCTGAGGAGATGAAAAGTCTCCAGGAGCAGATGGGATGTCCCTGAGTGCCATTAGAGGGAAGGACACGCTGCCCTTGGCCCACGGTGTGAGAGCAGCCCAGCCCCAGGCTCGAGGGTTCTGTCCCGCTCCCTCTCCCAGGTATTTCTGCTCCCAGTTCCACCTGGTGCTGCCAGGGCTCCAAGGCCAGGCCACAGAGGCTGGACAATGTGCCCAAGTGTCACGTTTCATGCCCAGCACCCTCATGGATGAGATCTGCTTGAGCTGGGGACAGAGAAGGAGCCGGTTTGGTGACACAGGGACACGGCAGAGGTGGCCCAGGAGCAGCAGCAGTGCCTGAGCAGAGGCAGTTACAACTCCAGAGAATCCCAGAATTCCTGAGGTTGGAAAAGCCCTCCCAGCCCATGGATCCACCCTGTGCCCCATCCCCACCTTGTCCCCCAGCCCAGAGCACTGAGTGCCATGGCCAGGCCTGCCTGGGACACCTCCAGGCCTGGGCACTCCAAACCTCCCTGGGCAGCCCCTGCCAAGGCCTCACCACCCTTTCCAGCAACAAATTCCTCCTCAGGGCCAACCTGAGCCTCCCCTGGCACAGCTTGAGGCCGTTTCCCCTTGTCCTGTCCCTGTTCCCTGGGAGCAGAGCCCGAACCCCCCCGACTCCCCCCTCCTGGCAGGGACTTGCAGAGTCAGAAGGTCCCCCCTGAGCCTCCTTTTCTCCAGGATGAGCCCCCCCAGCTCCCTCAGGAGTTCTCCACACCCTTCCCAGCTCCCTCAGCCGCTCCAAGTCCTGTCTCTCCCTCCCCAGCTCCAGCTCCTCATCTGCAGTCCCGGCAGCCACATCCGCCTCTCCCCCTGCCCACACTGCTGGAATTCCTCTGGCAGGCGGGATTTCTGCAGTGAGTCCCTGCTCTGAGTA